AGAAAAGAACAGAGAAAAGAAGGGCAGGGGATAGAAATATGCCGGATTGGAGAAGAGACAAGGTGCTGAGGGAAACGGAACTGCATGGGGAAGACCAGGAATAAGCGAGTGTCAGATTGAGATAAAAAAAAGAAGAGAGGGGATTTGCAAGGAATTATATATTATTTATGTTTTTTTTAACCGGATATGATTGGCAGAGAGAGAGATTCTTCAGAGAGATAGTTTTAATTTTAGACCACGAAGTGAAAGAAAGAGATTTACTGTATAAAGATAGAAGCATAGAATCTCAGTCCGTCAGCTTTTCCACCAAAGCTGCTTGCTTACCGATTACCTGAAGCATCACAGTCACAGTTTGGGTGACTTCTGGGTTCTGGCTTCATGTTGTACAGAATTATGCCTGGAAAAATAAAACAGTGATGAGTGACTCATGAGTTACGAAGATATCAGGTGCTCCCAGAGCGAGACTGAAAGACTGAAGTGTAATTGGATTAAAGGACAGAATCAAAGGACGTCTTAAAGTCTCGACAGTGCTAGTATTGTTAAACTTTGACGTGGATCTCCTAGGACGTCCTCATCCTCTGCCTGGTTGTCTGCTAATTCAGTAATAAATGTGTTATGTTATGTATGTCTACTGTGTGTGTGTGTGAGGCTGGTGGCTCCACTGTATACTGTTAATCTCGAGCAGGGCAGTTGCTCATTATACGCCAGCTCTGTATCTGGCGTTCTACCAAGACACTAAATTCAACTCACCTCCATAATTTACTGCTGCTTTCTTAGTAGGAGAAGATGGGGAAAGATGTCTTACCTTAAAGGGACAACTCATCCAAAAATGATTGTACATAAAATTAGATCACTTTACTAACCTTCAACTAAACCTGTATGACTACACAAAAACAAACACAAAAATAATATTTTAAAGAGTTGTTGTTTTTGACCCAACTGACTTTCATTGAAGGGACAAAATAGTTCAGACTTCAGAATATCTTCTTTTGTGCTCTCCAAAAGAGTAAATCAGACAGGTTTGGGTAAGATCACCTCCTAATTATTGTAAACTTATTGAACCCCAAGGGTCTGTAACTTAGTTTCAAAATAAAAACAAATTTGTTATGGTACACATTTAAATGAATGAATGTGTTCCCATATTCTCGGTTAACAAAAAGATAAAAGAACATATTTAATGTTGTTTTTATTGTGTCTATGTGGTGTTTTTAACATGCTTTAAAGACAGCCATGTGCAAATTCATGTCAACACCATTCCGGAGTATTCTTCTTAAAACTGCAGTGAACCAAAAACAGTCTCAAAAACGCGGTTCTTACATCACAAACTGCCTTGTAACCAATCCCGTCAACGTGTGATCATCAACAAACTGGTGTGAGCGAGTGGAGGCGGGGCTAATTTACATATTCATAGAAACGCGTATACTAAATGAGGCAAGGGTGTAGAGTTACATTGAAGCTATTTTAAAAGCATGAAGTATAAAAACATTTAAATATGTAATTTTGATGATCAAAGATGAGTTTTAAGGGATAAAATGGTTGACTACAGAGGGACTTTAACCTAAAACTTTTCAGATGGAATAAATCTCACAATTTTTCAGACAATTTTTTTTTCAATACTAACAATGTAGTCAGAGGAAAATATAAAGGTGGAGTTTATAATATTTATATTTCAGATTTATATTATATATTATTAATATTTCAACTCACTTATTTAATAAATTATTTATTTGCTCATTCTACCTTTTTTCTTGTGGACAAAGATTTGTGCAGTTTGTGTGCATTAATATGTCGCCCTCATCTGGCCAAATCATGAAGTTCTCCTCCACATCCCACCCCCCCACTCCACCCCAACCTCCTTTATTTATTTGCTTCTCATACCATCAGTACGCCGGCCTGTAATCGATCACTTTACTTTCACACTTAATCCAATTGTGAGCATGTTGTGTATTTTATTATGGTTTGATTCTAATAGGGTCAAGATGAATCCATCTGCGGTTTCTTGTTGTTTTTCGCCTGGCTCATAAACTTGCGTGCCCACAATACAGATACGACCGTAAACAAATCCCACGCAAGTTGTAATGCTCAAGCTTGTGTAGTGGACTCGACCGCCCCTCCGCTATGTTCCTGGCAGCTGCAAATGTGTCCAAAACCCGCAGCTGTCTTTCTCCTGCCCTGTGCCTCCCTCTACATCTCGCTTGATGTCTTTCCACCTCCATCAGCGAGTTGGCGAGTTTCTCGAATGCCGTATAGGCCTCACGGCACGCTCCCCTCCCTCCGTACCATTTGTTTCTCCGTTTGCATCCCTTCATTTCGGTCATTCACATGAAGAGGAGACAGCTGGCGTGCGTCAGAGTGCATTTAACGAATGCTCAATTAGCCATGTTTTGTTTGACTTCTCAGTCAAACACATTTAGATACTTTTGTTGGGAATTTGGCCACACTTGTTTGAGTTCTGTTAGGTTTGAATTAGGTTTTTAATTGCCTCCTATGCATTCACAGACCTTCTCTTGATGTATAGTGCTGTTGGAACAATTAGGAGCCATTAAAACAATGGCGGCCAAGTCTGCGGCCGCCCGAGTGCTGAGTAATAACAGTCATTAGAATAATAATTGGGATAGCAATGGCAGTGCCGATTGTCGTGATATGAATCACAATATTGATGTAGAAGACAGAAATAATAATGGCTACAATTACAATGGCAATTGTGCAAAATTTCAGGACGTCCTCAGTCACTGTCTCTCATTTTCTTCTCTGTTCTTGCCTTTTGATTTCTGCTCAATACCTCACCTGTCAATGTTTTATTAACCCACTCTCCCTCCACGCTGAATTCAAGACAAGGGTACTTTGAGATGGATAGAGCCTGACAGAATTAAATTTAAATGAAGCCAGATGAGCAGGCCAACGGGTGACGGAGGATGCCGTCTCACACCTTTATAGACTCTCCTTTATTTCGCTTCTGAACTTTGTCTTTTGTCTCTTTTCGCTCTCATCAAGCACGCCACAAATTCCTAATCCTAATCGTTTCTCTCTGAGACGTCCTCTATAACCACGAGGTCCTGATGAAATGTTTGGAAGCAATCTTAACATTATTTTGTTGGAGAGCTTTGAGCACTTTTGACCTTGAGGGGAAAAAATTCACTATAGTTAGTTTTTACACTACCAATGGTACAACATTAGATAGACATTATAGAATAACACTTTTTCGTGAACTAATATTTTCACACTTTTATATAATTTGGTCAAATTGCAGCTTGATTGGAAATAAGGCCTATGTATAATAAAGATATTGTTCACACTGTGTCCTATTTACCAAGGATAGTGACAAGCTTGAGATAAAATAAGCACACTAACATTACTAGTTGCAAAATTGTTGGTTATGGTGGAAATGATACTGAGGGAAAGTTGAAAGAGAGTTGCATTCTTTTTTAAATTAACACTTGCATGTGGGTAAGTTTAATAAATAAAAACAACTTTTTGAGCAAAAAGCTGAGAAAAACGCGTTTTTGTCAAAGACTACGTCTAGATTCAGAACGATGATCAAAACATAGAGGAGTAGATTGAGTCCATCAACTCCCCCAAAGCTTACATTAGGGAGTTTTGATTTATATGCTGTTCAATGTTGATGATCGCATTATTTTACATGTTTCTGCTTCTTCTTCACGTCTTTTGATTTGGAGATTCTTTACTGTTTCAGAAGATGCCTAATAGCGCCCCTACCGTATAACAGTGAAAACACGGAAAGCCGGAAATTTCCGTCAATGCCGGGAAAAGAGTTAAAATGATTTATGATGATTTCGCTTTTTTGGGTTATATTAATTAGTATCCATAGTTCCATAGACGAAAGTAAAATAAAATATACATAAAAGGGTTTTGAAAAGTAGCTAAATAAAATAAATGGAAAAGTATCCAAGGCAGTTTTAATGTGACATTTATATGACAAAATTAAATAAAAAAACATCTAGAGAAATGCTAGTTCTAATAAAAATCAATCCCAGGAACAGAAGCGTCTATAGTTAATGAAACACCCTTCACCTTCTCCACATCATTTTTTTTTTAACGGTGTGAAATGAGTCATCTGTACAATGCTCGAGTTACTGTTGGTTCTAAGCTCAAGCTATATACAGACTTCTTGTCATACAGCAAGTCTGTAACATGTCAGTCTGAGCATGTCAGACATCCTGTCCTAGCTAGGTGAGTGGAGAGATGGAGGAGACAGGTCTCAGCGAATCAGCCGATGTGTCAGTTTTACCCTAGTGATCCTTCTGATGTCATCACATGGAGTCTGTTCTGGGGATGAACGTGGTGTCAGGGTTGCGAATCATTACAGACCACCAGAGACAGGCTCTCTACGAAGAACACTGCTAATGATGTGCTGCTGTGGTGGGTCAACATGCTCACACAGGCCAGTGGTGATGACCTCATGTTCAACCTACTCCATACTGCTAAAATAAACATCAACAATACACCAGCGTCACCCAGAACATGCACTAGACATTACCTTCAACTATGATGTGTTCATTTTAGCAGCGAAAGTGCCATTAGTTGTTCTGTGTTGCTTGCGTATGACTGATCTGAGTTCGTTCTCTCAAAAGAGCCGTCATTACCGACGCTTTCACAAGCTGGATGTCAGATCGAGCAGATGGAAGAGAGAAGTGTGTCAGCCCACAGTAATGGATAAAGATAACGATGCTATTGGTCTTACCAGCACTTAATTAGGACCATTTTCTTTCTTTTTCTCCCTCTCGCTGTCTCTGTCTATCTGTCAGTCTCTCATTATTTTATTTTTTCACTCGTCTGTCTCCTCTTCTGCATAGTTCACACTTCTAAGCACAAAGGTAGTTACGTGAGAGAGTTGTTAATTGGTCACTGAGGTATTTCTATCTTCAAAATTGCTCCATGTGCCATCTTGTCTCCTTTTGTCCATCTAAAATACCTTTATAAATGATTAATTTCACCAAATGAGAGTTCTGCATTAACTCTGTCACCCCTCTGTCTTTCAGCGCGGGGTCAGGCCGTGCAGGCTGAGAACGTGACCGTGCTGGAGGGGGGGACGGCACAGATCTCTTGCCGTCTTCAGAACTACGACGGCTCGATCGTGGTCATCCAGAACCCACGCAGACAAACGCTCTTCTTCAATGGAACACGAGGTTAGCACAGCTAAAACTTCACTGGCCATCGCTAACAGATCTTTTTAAACTCCACGTGTTTTCATCAACATGTTTTGGCATAATTATTTTAATATGCCTGCTCCCATTACTTTAGGTTAGCTAGAAGACTTGAGGATTATGCTGAGATACACAGGACCTTGTTTATTTTGAGAAAATAAACAACTAAGAAACAACGTTAAAATTTTAAACCTAAAATTTTACTTTATTCTCACAATTGTGACTTAATTTCTCACAATGTGGCTTTATATTTCATGATTGCAAATGTATTTCTCGTAATTGTCACTACTTCTCAAAATTTAAATGTTTTTATATAACAAGGAAACAAATATGTGATTATATTTTACAATGTGACTCATAATTATGTGATACTGTGTATCTCTAAATTTTTCCTCATAAATACGACTTTATATCTCACAATTTTAACCTTTTTTCTAGAAATTGTGACTTAATATCTTATAGTGTGACTATTTTTCAAATTTGTGACTCACAGTGTGACATTATTTTATATCAATATTGCATAAAAATAACCTTTACTATTGCATTATTTACAGTAATGCTTTCTCAAATTGCAAATGTAAATTTCACATTTAGATTTTTTTCCACCTAGAAATTGTAATTTTCCACAATATGACGTTATTTCTCATATGAGATCGATTTTTTTCCTTTTTTATAAACAATATCATAATTTTTTTTTTTACTTTGAGGCAGAAATGGTTTTCCATAATAACATGAACAAACTTTATTGCATTATGTAATGCAAAACAGATAATTAGTTAATCATATAGTTATCACTAATCACATATGGAAACTTTGATTTATATATTTTTATATATTATATTTAAAATACACATCCACACTACTGGTCTGTTAAACCTCATGTAAAGTTTGTCATTGATTTTATTAAAGTTCTTCCCCATTTTGCTGCATTTTTATCATGTACCAAAATCAACTTATTGAGCACTCCTTCTCTGACATTGACTTCATCAGACACATTCCTTTTCCATTAATGGTTCTCTTTTAGTGCTGGTAAGTGGTAAATATGTTAAACACAACCTTGGAGTTCGTGCTAGCAGTGGAGCAGTCTCTTTTCATGCTAGTTAGCTTTTATCATATTTGGAATATATTTATACTGGCGCCATCAGTCTTTCTGAAATCCTTTTTAACTGATTACACCTTATTTCAATTTCTTTTTAAGGATCCTTTTATGTAATAACCTTTGTTTTTTCCATCGCAGCCGTCACTATCGCTCAAATTTGAAATCTCTTTAAGTGATGACTCTCTGTCACCCTCGTTTTGCATGATATGTAATGTGTTTTCATCCTTGCCTTTGTAACCCTTGCCTCACTCAGAGACGGACTCAGAAAGCATACGTAATTCTGTGAAAAAAGAGAATGGAGAGAAAGAATGAAATTGGTAGAAACAGAAAGGACCACAAAAGCTAAAAGCTGAATTAGTATCTGTGATCTCTGCTTTTATAAGTGCACATAATTGGGCTATTTTGTAGGAGCTAAATCACACCTCTTCTGAGCCATTCACACCACTCTTTTTTAGACTCACTTTTTGCTAACAATCTTTATGCTTTTAATATCGGTGGATACTACAGTGTGGTCATGACAGCTCCAAGCTGTACTTACTGCTCGAGTGCCCTGGTCTAAATGTACAGAGAAACGCAAATGAAAACTCCGCTTGCTAACTAATGAATCCCGATAACAGTCTTTTAGCGGGAAACAGGGCGTAAATATCCCTCAGCGGTCATGAATACAATAACCTATCAGCATGCGCCCTTTCCATGAGATTCTTTCATATTGGCCAGATCTGTGAGGTATGTAAATGAGGCATGACTAAAGGTGACAGCGGACTGGACAATGCATTGACATTTCCCTGCCATTTAGCCTGAGTGAAGGCATTTATCTCCTTTAGTGAGGCTCTTTTACTCCCGTTGTGTGAAACACGGATCGATTGAGTAGGTACAAATGTCACAAAAGAGCACTCACTCACTTATTTAGTTTATCACTCATTCATTCACTAACTCTCTCATTCGTTCAATGTTTCACTCTTTCACTTACTCTCTGTATAACTCTAATTCACTCACTCGAGGCTGGAATACACTACACGACTTTTGTTCTCAATTTGAGTCATTAATAGTTTGCCGAAAGTGTGCACCAGTTTGCAGATTGAGCAGTCAGGGTTGAAAGATTTCACAGAAAATAATTAGCGTATAATGGGCTCAGACTACGATTTCTATTTAGTTTCGTATTATGTCTGTTCAGATTTTAAAATTCTTGTAGTGTATTCCAGCCCTCAGTTGCTTGCTCACTAACTATTCATTTGTGATTCACTTAGTGTATCACTCACTCACTCACTCACTCACTCGCTCGCTCGCTCGCTCGCTCGCTCACTCACCCACTCATTTGCTCACTAATTTACTTGTTCTCTCTCACATTCATTCATATTTTCCAGCAAGAAACAGATAAATGCAGCCTGGTGTTGAAAGATGTTTAGGTTCAGAGCAGTAATCATCTTATGGATCCAGCGCATTGGGCTGCTATCTTTGAGTGTGCTGATTGCAGAGGGTCACATCTCCAGAGCACAGTTGGCCACAGACAAAAGCTTTAAATGGAAGTAGGGAGAAAAGGAGTATTTAGCACCAGTCAATACAAAATGGGTTTGTGTGTGTGTGTGTGTGTGTGTGTGTGTGTGTGTGTGTGTGTGTGTGTGTGTGTGTGGTTGTTGTTTTTCTAAAAGGCCCATCCAGCCCCTGCAATTGGCATCATTATTTGTTATTATTATTATTATTATTTTCTGACAATTGATTTTTCTCCCACCTTGGTTTCAAAGTGTTTTCAACACCAGTTCTCGGTTCCTGTTTTCTGCTTTCCCTCTGTATTTATGTGTTGTTCTGTGTCAGCTGTTCTGTGAGAGTTGCTAGTTAAAACAATCGTCTGTTGTTGTTTTCTTCTCCTTTTCATCTTCTCCTTTTAATGTTGCTCTATTCTTTTGATCTTTATTGTGTGATTCTCTATCAGAGTTGGAGAAGTTCATTTGAAAACGTAGATTGCAAACATCAAACTAATACTCATTAAAAGTAGTAAAGCTACAAGCTTTCATTTTGATAAAGTAGCTAGCAACACTACAAGCTACTACACAAACTGCTTTGAAGCTACGCAAAAGGTAATACTTCTTTATTTCACTGTCAAATTATTTGCAACACTTATAAGACAAAGTGGTATTTATGTATCCTACACAATCAGGATCTGCACAACGGTTTGCTGAAAACAAGCAATTGAATAGCAGTAATTGAAAACATCGTGACAAAAAGTAATTGAAGTGTAAGTGATAAACAGCAGTTTTTAATCCATGAAATACGGACATGTAAAATGCACACTACTGGTAATAAATTTGGGACTGGTGATTTTTTAAAATGTTTTTTAATGTTTCTTTTGCTCACCAAGGCTGCATTCATTTTATGCAAAATTCAGTAAAAACAGTAATGTTGTGAAATATTATTACGATTTAAAATGTTTTCTATTACAGTATATTTAATACATTTGTAAGTGTTATTTATTCCTGTGATTCCTCTGGTGTCACATGATTCTTCAGAAATCATTCTAATATTCTCATTTGCTGCTCCAGAAACATTTATTATTATTATTCATTTTGAAAATAGTTGTGCTGCTTAATATTTTTGTGGAAACTGATGAATAGAAAGTTCAAAAGAACAGCATTTATTTGAAATAGAAATCTTTTGTAACATTATAAATGTCTTAACTGTCACTGTTGAATTTCATGCATTCTTGCTTGAATAAAAGTATTCATTTAAAAAAAAAAAACTTTTGAATGATAATGTAGTACCATTTGTCCTGCTTCATTTTCTCTTCACACAACTATTTTATTACTTAACTCACATTTTCCTTATGTAATATCCTTGACTTGATATTAGCCATTGTGAAAAGAAGGCATTTTAACATAATTCATAATTTTAACTTGTGTGTCCTGCATTTGCTTTATCCTTTCTCATCCCTACTCTCTCTCTCTTCCAGCACTGAAAGACGACCGTTTTCAGATGGTTCTTTTCTCACAGCGGCTGGTGCGGATCACGTTGACTAATGTAAGTGTGTCTGATGAGGGCGGCTACTTCTGCCAGCTCTACACCGATGACACACACCACCAGGTGGCGACGCTGTCGGTGGTGGTGCCCCCGGAGGTGCCTACCGTGGAGGTGAAGACCGAGGCAGTGGAGGGTGGAGAGGTGGAACTCACATGCTCGTCCCCACGGAGCAAACCACCAGCCACCCTGCGCTGGGTTCGGGACCGCCGAGAGATCCCTGGTGAGTTTCATTTAAATATGACAAGTCATTTTAGATTCAATGCAGCCACATGCATATACTATACATGCACTTACAAACATGAAAAAAAGCATATAAGCACATATACAAACACAAAAGAGTCCACTTTTATTAAAAATCTCTCACATGTGTGCATATTTACTCTGTCTCTTTGTCAGACTCTCTGTCTTCATGGTAAATGTCATGCATTTCGACTAATCTCTCTGGCAGCCAGGAAGATACGCTTTGCTCCTCTCCAACATGTGTTTGCTCATTGGCACATTTTCCCCTCTATTGCTTTATGTCACTCTATCGAATATCAAATGCATCTGTCCATCTGGGTCCCTTCGGATGTGTGCAGAGGAACGCTTTTCTTTTCTGTTTTTGTCAAATACTCACCCCCATACAGAACTGGATCCAGGTGGGGCTTCAATCTGTGCCTTCCTTTCATTTCTGTCAACTCTATCTCACGTTTTCTTGCTTTCTCTCCCCCTTCTATTCCTCAATGCCATCACATTTGCTCTATCTTTTTGTTTCAGCTTTCCTTTTTTTGGCTCCAAGAAGAGAATGACAAAGAGACAGAGAAACAGAGGCAGGGAAAGTGCAGGCTGAGAATGTAGGCTTTGTGCACCATCAATGTTGTTTGAATATAAAGTTGTGAGCGGAGAGTGTCTCTCGACAGATTCGATAAGACAGGACTCAGCTTGAATTTGGACTTCCGAGCCCATCGCTGTTCCGCTTCAGTGAAAATAATTTAAATGTATGCCTGATCAAGGTTATTTAAGTGATATCACACGAGTTCTATAAACACTTCAGTCAAGTAACTTATGTTTCAGACAAAATTTGCTGTTAATTCGCCAAGTAGCGCACAGACTGGCAGCCTGTCTAAAAACAGCCTCATGCAAAACCACACAACTCCTCAAACTGCTCACATACTCTGGTCTGGAACGCCACAATCATAGACAAGTGGAATGACACAAACATTGAAACACCCCTGTGTTATACAATGCAGCGTTCATGTTATGTTATTATGAGGTGGTAACTCTGAGATTGGGTAACACTTTACAACAGGGTTTAAAAGTGGCCCTGTAGTTTAGCTCAAATCCTGATTAAACTCACCCTACCTGTAACTCTGAAGACCTTGATTAGCTTGTTCAAGTGCCTTTGATTAGGGTTGGAGCTAAATGCTGCGTTCACACCATGTCGTAATTACCGTAATTACCGTAATTATGAGATGACAACACGTGTATTTTTGTAGGCCGAGCCGGAAGTTAGCATCACCCTGGTTCCCCTGACAAAAACCCATTTTGACTTTTGAAATATTGCAGAAAATCTGGGACCAAAAGTTAATTTCTTACATGTTTTGTTCATCATGGTAATCTTCACAAATTAACACAACTTTTATGAATTTTGAAGCCTAAATACAATCAGCAGAAGTAAAAAGCTATATGTAGGCTATAAACAAACTACATCTCTGTTGCATAATTTTAGCGCCACCTTCACTAAGCTTCCGCCAACGTGCCAACACATACAGTAGCTAGAATAGTTTGCAAGAGTGTGATTATAAACACAAAGTGGCTGTGAAAGTGGACTATGTTTAATGTACCCAACAACCTCTGTAGTCCCATTAGGCCATTTTGTAGCAACAACCTTTTTCAAGACAAGTAAAATCTCTGAAAAATTCACAAGGGGTAGTAATAGCGATGCTCGATATATTGGCCGCCAAATCAGTATCGGCCGATATATGTTCATTTTTAATGTTATCGGCCTGATAAGAAAATATGGCCGATATATTAAAGCCGATAAATAATGGATTAATTCTTTCACCGTGATGGTTTTGAATTGCTTTAAATATGATTGGAATAATACAGTTATATTATAAAAGAAAAGTGCAGCGCAAGTCTGTCATATAGGCTACACAAAATTATAATGTGAACATTATGATTGTGTGCTTGGGACATCACATTTTGTTTCAGGCTCTCAAAAATGATATAAAGATTCAGATTTAGATTTATCGCCAAAAAAACACATACTTCAGGACGATCGATCTTGGAAGTGCTAAAAGTTCTGGGTTTAAGGGTTTTGGCCTCCAAAAATGTGTCATCTTTGTGTTGTTGTTTATTTTTTATTTCATGACACATTAACTACTGTCAATAAATGAGCCTTTTCTAACTGGTTCATATGACAGATCTAAATCTGAATTTTACTAGTTAGAATACTGTAATTACGGTAATCTTGATATATACTTCATAATTCTGTAAACTCTTTTTGACCCCACTCTCTATCGACCTACACTTCATCTTCTCTGTTTCATTACCACTTTTCTGCCCTTCACTCGCCCCTTGTCATTTCGTTTTTCATCATCAAATTAAAACTTAATAGTCTCACAGGGATAATAGAGCCTGTTCTGTGGTTGTGAAATCACTGTGTGTAAGGAATATTGCTCAGCACATCGAATTCGTCCTTTTTGAAGTAACCAGTGCAAGCGTGCAATCCTTTGAATGAAAGGTATGCAAATAATGTGTGGCTGAAATGTGAACGTTGTTCAAATTTGGGCAAACTGACTTCTATAAACCCCTCAATTCCTTTCCATCCCTCTCTTTTCGTTCAGGTGTGATCTCTCAGCAGGAGAACGGCAAGACTGTGAGTGTTTCCAACACTATCCGTATCCCCGTGGAGAGGAAAGATAACGGAGCGGCGCTGAGCTGTGAGGCGTCTCACCCGGTACTCGTGGGGCAGAAACGAGTTCGTCACTACAGCCTGGACGTTCACTGTGAGCCAACAATGCCGTCACGTTTCCATGGCTACCGCCATATTAGACTGATTAACGTTGTTATTAGCTCGCAGAAGCCCCATCTGTTTAAACATGTTCACTTGGCAAGCCTCTAACAAGGTTTTTTTTGTTTGTGTTACATCTTGCCTGCTATGATAAAGGACTAGAAGACAACAGTATCCCATTACACACCACACCACATTGTAAACAGAAACACTTGAAATATGATACTGTGGAAAGATTTCAACCAATTAAAATTTCTAATATCTAATAATATACTTTACACAAGGACTCCTCTCATAAGGTTTCTGTAAAAAACGAAAGGGCTTTGCTCTATAAAAAGACAATTGAGTTCAAATAAACTTTAGTGTATTGCTGTTGTTACCCACAGTGAGTTTGTATCAGACACCCGCTTGAAATGTGTCGAGACACTTGCTCTGTTCCAAAACCTAGTGAGCTGCATTTTAAAAGCAAATTTAGATTTTAAATCTAGTTAATTCAATACTAAGCAGTATTTACGCTACCGTTCAAAAGTTTTAAAAATGTTTTTGAAAGAAGTCTCTTATTCTCACCCAAGCTGCATTTATTTGATCAAGAATAGAGTAAAAAAATAAATAATTTAGTGAATTATGATAACAATTTAAAATAAAGGTTTTATACTTTAATATATTTTTAAATGTTTTGTTTTTTCCTGTGATGCAAAGCTGAATTTTCAGCATCATTACTCCAGTCTTTAGTGTCACATGATCCTTCGGTTTTTTTTTTTTTACAGAATTCTTTGATGAAAGTTCAAATGAACAGCATTTATTTGAAACCGAAATATTTTGTAACATTATTATTTATATTAATTATAAATACATTATTAATTATGTCTTCACTGTCACTTTTTATCAATTTAATGCATTCTTGCTGAATACATTTCTTTCAAAAAATGTATTTTACTTATCCCAATCTTTTTAATGATAGTGTATTACATTTTTTATTTTTAAATACTTAAATAGATAAATCTCATATGTGTGTGTTTATTATAATTATTATTCCTCTCACATTGGCCAATTCCGAATTGAAATTCCGTTGAAGGCAGTAGGTGCTCACTAGGCTTTGTGACTGAGCTTTCTTCCTTTTTTTCTTCCTTCTCTCTATCTTTCTCTTTATCTCTGCAGTTGCTCCTACGGTGAAAATCATTCCCCCTCAGGGCATCCTCCGAGAGGGAGACTCCCTCAGTCTCACCTGCTCCGTTACTGGCAACCCACTGTGAGTGTACAAGAGCGTTTGTGTGTTTTTCTTTCTAAACGTATCTGTCAGTTCGTGTGTGGGAGAATTTGATGGATGTGAAAGCATGTGTGGAGTTCTGTTTCTACATGTGCTTTAAAAACTAATCATCTGAACTGGTCCCACAGGAACAGCTTTTATCTTCTAACAATCCAAAATGCTTAAAGAGGATCATCTGAATCCAGCTCCAATAAAGTATAATGACTCAGAACAAAAACAATCCTGCATCTGTGCATGAGGGAGAACAGCCTGGACTCTATCCTCTGTTCTTCCACCCATACCTCACTCTCTTATTTTTTCCCCTTCAATTTCAGTTTCAAAGTACACAATAAAAATGTTCCAGTCACTGGAATAAAAACAAAAAAACATATTTTTTTTATAAAATACATTTTTATAACAATTACTGCCACATACATTTTTTATAAAATATATATATTTTTAATAAATACATTTTGCAGTAAAGGTGGAAAAAATAAATTATTATTGTATATTATTATTTGTTTTGCAATTACTGCCACTATTTATTTTTTATTTATAAATTATAAAAAATATTTAATTTTATTTTAATAAATGTAGCAGTAAAGATGGAAGTAATAAAAAATAATAACAATATGCAATACAATTAAACAGGATAAAATGAAAAATTATAGTGAACGTTAATGTCCCCCTGTGGTGAAAATAAAGCTTTTAATGTTGTTTATATTATTTATGTCTATGTGGTGTTTTCAATATGCTTTAAAACAAACCAAGTCAACACCATTGATGAGTATTTTCTCCTTAAAACTGCTGTGAACCAAAGACAGTCTCAAAAACACGGTTTGAGATCACTGGTGTTTCTGACGTCAAAAACTACCTTGTAACCAATCACGTCAATGTGTGATCATCAACGAGTTGATCTCTGAGCTGGTGTGAGTGAGTGGAGGCGGGGCTAATTTGCATATTCATAGAACCGCGTTTACTAAATGAGGCAGTGGTGTAGAGTTACATTGAAGCTATCTTAAGGCAAGAAAAAAAATTCAAGGAAAAATGTTTAAATATGTCATTTTGATGATCAAAGATGAGTGTTAAGGGATACAATTATTCACTACAGGGGGACTTTAAATAAACAACTATTTTGATGCATGCGTGTCCTTCGCCAGCATTTGAATTTCTTTTACCAATTTTGGTCAATATGGAATGAAGTTTCAGAGTTTTTCAGAGATATTTATTTATTACATCACTAAATGGCTTATATTAAAGGAGAAAGTTCTCCTCTGTCAACTTCACCGCTGTCACTGTGAGCACAGACACTTTCTGTCTTCAGAAGACATTTGTCTCTGTTTTTCTCTTTTTCTGTGGCTCAACCGTGGTCACTGAGCCTCTTTTGCCTAAGAGGCTGTGAGCAGAAAGCCATTAAAACCTCTCCAGAGCCTCGTAAGGAACCGCTACAGAAATGAAAGATGGAGAGATAGAGAGGATGCTTGAGCTGCCACTCATTTTACGCTGAAATGGGGGAATGAATGAATGAGTGAGGGAAGGAAGGAAAGCAAGATGGGCTCAGATGGGTTTTAGCTGGGAAAGAGAAATGAAAGGCTACGTGATTTATGCGATGGGGAGTAAGAGAGTGTGAAACGTGTAAATGTTTAATTGTAGGGGCATGTTTGAAGATTACAGAATGCAGTGATGAGAAATGAGAATAGACTGCACACCCACAGAGAGAACGCTCTCTGGATAGGTTGAGATAAATGAGTGTATTGATGGGAGGGATGAGAGATGAATCCAGATGCCACTCTACGGTAACTGAACTCACAGTACACTGCGTCGTGCTGCTTGGTTATAAAGCCATTACGATCATGTTCATCCGACATTAATCACCAATTAAACACGGTCTGCATTTGTTGGAGGGGTGTGTTTATTATTCCTCAGTGCTTTGGCTGGCTCATGCATGTATGTGAGAATGTGTGTGTGGTACTGTATCCTGAGTCCTGAATCCTGTATCCTGTGAGGGCTGTAATTAAAAGTGTCCCGTGGGATTACGGTGTGATGACGTAGACTTGTATCCCAGCCAGGGTGGATGAGGGATGAGGCGTTTCACAGGCGGTGGGCTCAGAACAGAAGCCTCAGGCTTTTTGCCCTACAGTGTCCGTGTATCTCCTGCTATTGTGGATCACCTCGCAGCTGTTTTGTGTGTGTGTTTTCAGTAATCTCCTTCTTTCATGCTCTTTTGTCTCTGTCTGCCTGGTATTATCTTCTAGGACTATACTCCTCTCCTCTCTTCTCTGCAAAATATTGAGTATATAATATATAAACTTTCCAGTAAAAACAAAATCCAATATCCTCAAAAAAGATATATGCATCTTAAGTGGCGTATTTACGGTGGCCGAGAGCTCAACACGATGCAATTGAAGAAAACGCATGCAAATAAAAAAACACCCGCAAATTAAGAAAACATCTTCAGCAGTTTTACAACACAAGTGTGCTCCAAATACTCACAACACAAGCAAATACAGAAACGTGCTGGAAATGGCACAGACCACAACGGAAATGTTTCCAGGGGACCCCAATAAGTGACGAACCCGGCTGGGATGTGCTTATTGCTCGGAAGTGAGCATACCTATGCCCTACTCCCTTCGAAGGGCAGAGCCCTTGAAGTGGGGACTTTGGAGTGAGCAGGGCACTTGTGTGCCATTTATGTAGCCGTTTGGAACGCACTTGGCGAAGGGAGCAACGAAAGACAACATCATTTCCTCATCATTTTCACCTGAGATTAATTTGCAACAGTTATGTTAACAGCAATAATATAAATTTCTAATTGTCGTAAGAACAACTATTCAGCTGATGGTATACATTTTATACAAAAAATGTATATATCTGTCTGTGTATCAACTTTAAAACTTGCCGTCTGATCTTTGGACCCTGCATTACCTAACATTTCTTACCTATGAAACTTATTTAAACATAACATGACAAAAAATGTACAATGTAACTGATGTATAGATTAACATGTTCTTTTTCTCTATCTATTTTGTTTAGTTTTTTAGTTTTTAGCTCTTTGTTAACTCTTCTTTTCTCATTTGTATTCTGATGACATTGAACATATTGTAAATACATTTTGTATATTGTATACAACGTTGTATGTGATAAACATGTCATCTCTGTATGTTTTGCAAGAAGAAAAAGTTTTTAAAAATATTTTAAAATAATAAAAAAGTAGACTGAGCAATAAGCACGCATAGACAGTAAAAGAAATGGACACAGCGACCCCATAGATTTCAACGGAGAAAGTTGAAGCCCATAAAAGCACTCACTTCCTGATAGCCAAGCGCACTGCGCAGGCTCAAACTGAGCTTGACGACGTAGATGTGACGTGAGCAACCGTTCTGACCTTCTAGTTGCTGTGCCGAGACAAATCTGAATTGAAATCTGAAACAAATCTGTTGTTGAAATATTTTGTCCCGTTGCTTTTATGAACTCTCTATCTATGGGCTTCTCCCTTGACTTTATGCCTCCATGTCCACCCGATTGCCTCATAGACAGTAAACGATTGCCTATGAGCTTCTACTTCTGTCTATACGGTAATTTCTCTACTGTGCGACAGAGCATCCCGTGGTTATGACGCAATCGTTAGCCTATTTTTACAAAAACTGCTTCTACGGGACCATAACTTAAGATACAAAGTAATGGAGCCTTTTATCCATTGTCCCGTTTCTTAAGAAATAAATAATGGACAAATTAAGTCTTTGGACGCCTCAGATGTAAAGTTATTCGCTGTCAAAGTGACGCCAAAATGAATGGGAGTCAATGGGATGCTAACAGCAGGTGATAGCCAGCTACAATGGCGGCCCCCAGAGGAAGCTTCAGTTTCCGGCGGATGGATTACCCCCTTGTAAGCACCAAGGGGGTAATCCATCGACCGGAAGTTGAAGCCGGCCGGGTGCCGCCATCTTGTAGCAGAACTTCTCTTGCGTTAGCATTTCCATTGACTCCCATTCATTTTGGCGTCACTTTGACAGCGAATAACTTTACATCTGAGGCGTTTAAAGACTCCATTTGTCCATTATTTATTTCTAAAGAAACACGACAATGTATAAAAGGCTCCATTACCTTCTATGTTACACTATGGCCCCGTAGAAACAGATTTAGTAAAAATAGGCTAACGATTGCGTCATAACCACTCGACTCTCTGTCGCGCTGTACAGAAATTACCGTACAGACAGGAGGAGAAGCTCACAGGCAATCGGGGGGACGTCCCGTCAAGGGAGAAGCACATTTTAAAATAAATACTACACAAATTAATAATTAATCAGAATACTTACTCCTGCTCACTCACGCCAAAGAACTCTTTGCTCAAGTTCCCTGTCTCTGCAAGATTAACGTTGGCAATTTTCACGCACAGCTACTAGAAGATTCACGTCTGTCAGACAGGTTGCTCACGTCATCAAGCTTAGTTTGAGTCGGTTTGAGTCTGCGCGTCAGGAACGGAAGTGCTCAAAAATCGCTAAAAATGGGCTTCAACTGTCTCAACTGAGTTCCAATGAGATGGCTCTGTCCACTTCTTATACTGTCTATGGTAAGCACGTCCCAGCCGGGTTCGTCACTTATTGGGATCCCCTGGAAACATTTCCGTTGTGGTCTGTGCTATTTGCAGCGCATTTCTGTATTTGCTTGTGTTGTGAGTATTTGCAGCACATGTGTGTTGTAAAACTGCTGAAGATGTTTTCTTAATTTGCGGCTGTTTTTTCTATTTGCATGTGTTTACTTCAGTTGCAGCGCGTTGAGCTAATTCAACTGATTCAAACACACTGATCCATTCAGGAACAAAATAAGTATCTTTACCTAATGAGATCATTTAGATTCAAAATGTACTGAGGTTTATGTAAAAAAAAAAATAATACTAAAAAAATATTCCTTTGAAAACAAGTCTCATTTAAAATAACTTGTTCTTTAATGTGGTTTAGATTTTATTTACTTAACAAAATGCCCCCCCATCCTTTTATGTGTTTTTCATCTTTTTTTATGTTATAAGATTTCTATTCTCTTTCCTCCCTGGTGCCTCATTAGATTTGTTTTTCCAGCTTTTCTTTGAATGCCTTGTTCCTCCTTTGATAAATACTTGATTATTTCTTTAAAAGATTGTCTTTTTTACAGTCTGTCTTTTCTTCTTTTCCAGACCACGTGACATCCAGTGGTCACGAGTGAACGACACTCTTCCTGAGAGGGCGGAGAAAACAGCCAACATCCTCCAGGTGTCTCGCCTCAGCCAATCACACAACGGCACTTACCTCTGTCAGGCGCATAATAATTATGGCCGTGCAGCTGACCACTACACACTGCTGGTGTATGGTAAGATAACAAGTGTCCCTGGTCACATGATATAAACACTAAACTACAATACAGCCCACATTTGTGCATGTCAAAGTCTTAAGGCTTTTATATGAAGCCTGTTTCCACACCGCTCAGAATTACAAAACAATTCCAAATGTATACGCGTAAACACCTACACTTTCTTTGCCGAGAACAACGTGGGTTCTTCGTAGCTACAGAGGTGGTTTACTGTGGGTTTGGATGTGACAAACTCGTGTTGTTCTCCCACCATGGTGTGTTTTTTTAGTCCTCCCCCTCCTGCCCAGATCTGCCCCTTGTGGCTGTTCAGTGAACTGAACCCTTCAGCTGTGTCTGTAGACCTGCAGGATGTGTGCTGTATTTTGAAAGAGTCTAAGAAATGAGATCCCCAGAGGTCTCCCTCCTTTCTTTCTCTTTTTTCCTCTTTTTTTTTCTCCGCATGGTAACGACAGCCATCAAATACGCACGTTAACGAGGCAGCTCGGAGAGCGCAGGTGGGTGGGAATGTCATCTTTCATCCCGCTTCTATTCCTCGCTCCCTCTCTCTTCTGCTCATTCTGTGTAGGTGATCCTCTTAGCTTTGAAACACCTCTGCACTTTAGAGAATGTCCCAGGAATCCTGTTTATTCTCCTTTCCTTTCTTCCTTTCTTCCTTCCATGCTTCTTACTCCCTTCATTTGTTTCTTCCTTTATTCCTTCTTTCCTTTCTTCCTCCCTTCATTTGTTCCTTCCTTCCATTCTTCTTCCATTCTTAATTTCTTCCTCACTTTGTTCCCCTTTTTATCTTTCCTCTCTTCCTTCATTTTTTCTTTCCTTCCTTACTTTATTCCTTGCTTTGTTCCTTCTACCTTCCTCTGTTCCTTCCTTTGTTTTCCATCGTTCCTTCGTTTCTTCCTCCTTTCTTCCTTGTTTAGTTGTTTACATCATTCCTTCCTTTCTTCCTCAATTTCTTCCTTCTTTTCTTTCACATTTCCTTCTATCCTTTCTTCCTTCCCTTCTCCCTATCTTTCTCTCTGCCTTCTTTTATTTCTTTGTTTGCTATGTTCTTTCCTTCCTTCATTTCTTTATTTCTTACCCCTTAATTTCTTCCTCTTTTTTCATTATTTCACCCCTTCATTTTTTCTTTTCATTCCTTTCACTCCTTTATTCCTCTCTTTGTCCCTTATTTTCATTCTTCCTTCCTTCATTTCTTCCTTCCAACCTTTCTTTCATCCTTCCAACCTTCCTTTCATCCTTCCTCCTTTTCTTCCATGGGTTTCTTTCTCTTTTTCTTCCCTCATTTTGTTGTTTTCTTTGCCCCTTCCTTCCATCCTTCCATCCATCCTGTTCTTCCTTCACCCCTGCCTCTCCTCCCTAGCTATTTCACCTTTGTTCCTTCCTTCCTTTGTTTCTTCCTTCCTTCTTTCTTTCATCCCTTCCTTCCTTCCTGCCTGCTCGCCTTCCCTTCATCCTATTTTTCTTCCTTCCATCCATCCATTATCCATCCTGTTCTTCCTTCACCCCTTCCTTGCTTCCTTCCTATCTTTCTTTCACCATTCCTGTGTTCCTTTTTTCCTTTCTTTCCTTTCTTCCCTTCATCCTTCCTTCCTTCCTTCCTTCCTTCCTTCCTTCCATCCATCCTGTTCCCCCTTCACTCCTCCCTCTCATTCCTCGCTTCCTTACGATTTTCTATCACCATTTCTGTTCCTTCCTTCCCTTCATCATGTTTTCATCTTGTTGTCTCTCCTACACAGAACACAGGCCTCCCCATTTAATGTGTTTATGCGGGAGTAAATGAACAAGATTTGGTGTTAACTCTCAGCGGTATCAGCGTATTTAGGTTTCATCCGCTGGAAATCCCATGCTCAGTCCAACTAAAAAGAGAGAAATGTGTGACTTCTGAAAGCTGATAGAGGATGAGGGAGAACTATTGAGATGATGAGTCTGCAGTCACAGTGACACAAGAGGGTGGAGGAGGGCTGATCTAAATATCTTGCTGCTTCGCACTGACAAACTTTTTCCCACTGATTTATTTTATGTCTAAAGTGACCATAAAGTGCAAAATGAGGAGCAACCAGCCAATATGAACAGGATTATGATTATAAACTAAAGGTAGATGAGAGAAAGACTGAATGAATCAGGCAACAGAGAGCAATGGAGAGAGGTGACACAGATAGGGAAATGAGGAAGACAAAAGGACAGAGGAGGAGGAGACTTTGTTTTTTCAGGAATTTTGCAATTTACTCTGACTGATATGCAAGTTTGTATTTACCACATGGCTCAACAGGTACGCCTGTCTGTGCTACTTTATCTCTGTCTGTCTGGAAACTTTTACATTTGCATATATATTTGGTGCATACTTTGTTTTTGTTTTAACAAAACAACTTTTTTTTTTGTGTTGCTACGGTTTTAGATTTATTTAAATGTATCTGAATGCTTCAGGTTTTGCCTACACAAGAACTGTTAAACCTGAAATCACTTACAGTGTAGGGAGCAGCCAAAAGTCTCCATGAGGAAAATGTCTTAAACATGCTAAATATTTTAATGAAAATCTAAAAATGTTTCTGTGAGTGTTATATTTAAGGTAAGAGGATAGAAAATCCTAGATAGAGAGGATAGTGTGTGTGTGTGTGTGTACTCACTTCCACATATGATGCTTATTCAGTGGTCAAACGGTCAGAGGAGAGTCCCCTGGAGACATCCCTATGTAAAACAGCAGCAGTACTTAGCCATGATGGACCTTGTTGCAGATAAAAGCCATAACAATCGAATGGCCTCAGAGAGCCACTGAGATTGAAATGAGAGAAGAGAAAAGGAGGGATGGACAAACATAGATGGAGGGAGAACCAACAATGCTCGCAGGAGAGAGAAAAAGATGTAGCGCAGTAATGAGCTGTGGCTCTAATTAGGAGAAACAACATGGGCACTTTATTAATGAAGTGAAACTTTGGAAAAAGAGAAGGAAGCATGAGCAAGAGGGGGAAATAGTAATTGAAAATGTCATTTTTTACCTTTGGACAGTCATGACAGGAATATTAAGCAAGGTGAATCAAGGAGTGTGTCGAGTTGACGACAGAGACTTGGCCTTTGAGCAGAGAGGGGAGAGGTGAGCGACTGTGGGATTTACGGACTCCGTAAATGGAGGGTTAGAACACAACTTGAAGATCTGCCACTCTTTCTTTCTTTGGTGGTATAATGTGGCACAAAACCCATTGTCCCAAAAACGCAGAGAACATTGCTGACTTGACTCACCCAAACATTTGTGTGATGAAATGCCTTGATCAGCTTCCAGCTTGAGCCATAATGATGTGCAGGAGAAAGGAAAGAAGAAACGCCTTTTAAATGATTGGTTTTGAAGAAAAGTGCAGGAAAACAGAAATGTAAGGAACGAGAAAGTGTGAGCACTGAAAAGAGAAGAGAAGGGAAAGAGGGACGGGAAATGAAATGAGAAAAAAAAGGATCTGAGTGATGGAATAGAGGAACCAAAAACAAAAATGTGGTCATTATTTACTCACCCTCATGTCATTCCAAACCTGTATGGCTTTCTTTCTTCTGAGCACAAAAGAAAAGATTTTGAAGACTGCGTTTCATGCAATTACAATGAATTGGGACTGAAGCTTTCAAGCCTAAAAATTATGCAAAAGCACCATAAAATAGCATAAAAGTGATCCACATGATTTGTCTTTGAAAGCGGTGTGCAAAATCTTTGTTTGAGAAACAGACCAAACCAAAGTCATCATTAACTGCAAGTGTTTTTTTCTCTCTCTTTTTTCCACTTTTCAATTTATTTATTTTTGTGGTCATGAGAGTAGCGGTTTTTGATTTGTGAAAGTATAATTTATTTGATCAGTGGATTTGGGATCTTTTCAATGAATATGCTGCAGTTTCACAAAACAGTTTCAACTCACTGATCAGGTTGCAGCGGTTCTGTTAGAGATATCAATGAATCACAATGTAAATTTTGGTTTGTTTCTTACACAAATCAATTTTAAGATTACAGAAGACTTGGAAATAGTCATATTGACAACATTTATGAAACTTTTATGGAGCTTCTGTGTCATGTCTGCATGTCCTTGTTTATGGCCTGAAAAATTTCTCTATTTATGTTCTAAAGAATAATAAAGTCATACAGGTTTTGGAATGACACTAGGGTGAGTAAATAATGACAGAATTCACATTTTGGGGTTAAAGAATCATTTTTAGGAGAACTATACCTTTAAGATGTTGGGGGATCTGTCCCTTTAACAATCTTAAATGTTTTAAAATGTGAGAGGTTTTGCCACAGTAGAAGACAAGAGGATTTGAGAGGAGAGGAACGAGAGAGATGATTAGCTGAAGAGTCAGGGTGGGTGGTCTCGGGATATTGATCCGTGTCTGGCTATTGATCAGTCTGGTACCATGCTGTTAATCCCTCTGAGTTTTGAAGGCCACACACATACGCAACCGAAAACTTGCTGCTCTTTGTTGCATAAAAAGGATAGGCCCATATGCAGAGAGAGTAGCTGCGAACCAGCAACAGGAACGAGATGGGTCGAGAGAGAGCGATGAGGCTAGTGCCTATATTAGAGGTGTGGAGGATGGTGAGCAGAGCAGCAAGATTGATGATCTTTGGGATGGAGGGATTGAAGATTACAGTGAGAGAGAGAGTGCTGAGCCCGGGGTGCACGGTAACTGCAGTATTTTGCAGCGGTGAGGGATGAAAGGGTGGAACAGGAAGCTGCTGCACCCTGCTGGCTGGAGATGTTACCCGCACAGAGACCCTTGACCCTGGCAGAGGGGTGCAATTTATGAACAACACTGTTTATCTCTTGCTTACACACTTGGACACTCACATACACAATGACAGGCCTCATTTTGCTTGTTTCCTCTTGCATGTGCTTGTATGTAGCTGCAGTAGTTTGTTAATAACCCTGTTGTAATGCCATTCCCTTGTAGTGTTTGTCCCTCCCAACCCTCATCCTGCCATCGCTCACCCCACCCTTCCATCCTCCAGTTTTGCAAAGGAATACCAAGGTAACCCTTCTACCATCACCATCACCTACCCTCACCTTTACTCATCATTCATTTCCCTTCACTTTTTTTTTTCCTGAAGTGTTTATTGCACCATAAACAGTCATGCTTTAGGTTTACATGATTTAAAAAAAATTCTTTCCCTTAGAATAAAACAGGCTGTTTTTCTACTGTAGCTTTTAAAAAGATGTAAACAACCTCTTTTGTTATTTGGCCCTCTTTGGCTAACCTCTTCACATGTGTAATAATGAGTGACAGTTTTATTACAGTGCTTGCACAATGAGCAATGTAATATTTTGTTTTCTTTGTCTCATTCTTCGTCTTCTACACACATTTCTGCATCCATCATTTGATTTGTAAATAATTTTGTTCATAATTTATGCTGCATTTTCACTTGTTTTGACAGACTATAAAACAAATGAAAGTCAAACTGCAGCTGCGTGGAGTTATGATCTTCTGTGAAAGCAAAATTTTCAGATCCGATTTGACTGTATGTGACATGATCCAACTGGATATGATATATTAGATTCAAAACTTTTCAGTCATTTTTGTGACTTTATCCAAAACACACTCTACTTTGAATGGATGCTACAAAGACAGGACACTAGGCACAGAAGCTACCTTATTTATCCATCTATATTGCATATTACTGTCAATCTCTACCTTTCTGTCTCTGTCTTTGGTTTCACAACTTTTCAATCGCTTTATCTAAAACTTTAATATTTCCTTGTTTGCTACCATGCAAGCACTGTTATTTCCTTCAGGAAATGCAAATCCAGTTTTCTTTAATTGTCTTCCACCTCAACATATGCAAATTCTTCCCCGACGGCTCTGCTCCGATGCTTGCCTTTTAAACCGGTTTTGTTCCATGTTTTCTCCTGCTAAATCCACTAATTTCTCATCTTCTCATTCATGTTTTGTGTTTATTAATGTCCCTTAAGATGTATGTGCACACACTCCTATTGTCTTCCAAGTGCCCTTATCATTTGAAGCACTAGCGCTGCTCTCCAGAGGATCTACTCAGCTGTGGTGCCATGTTTATCATTAGAATTTAAGAGTCTGCGAACAGATGAAGAAACACATGCTGAAAGAGAGTGTAAAAGAGAGCACAATGACCCCTTAAAAGAGGCCCAGCTCTACAGCAGCATCGCTTGTCATTCATGATGTTGTGGGATGTGAGGTCGGGTCAGACGAAAGCCCTTGATCATCCCACCTGACAGAACTACTGAGAGACTTCACTGTACTGCAAGACATCGACATCACGCAACACTGCACAAAACTCACACCTCAACACACTGACCTGCAGAGGAAGATATCCGATGCGTTTTCATTTTGTGCACTTCAAAGTGCACAGTCATTGCATCTATGACTTTTTGCCTTTCTTTTCTTCACGCTCTAACACACAAACCTTTTCCATCAGTCTCATTTCTTTTTCTCTGTCTTGCTCCTCTTCTTTCTGAATCGTATTGTTTGCTCTCTCCAATATCCAGCAAGAATTGAGGGGGGTAAAGACTATGTTTTCCAGAACAGACTGGGAGAGAAAGACAATTGCAAGTGGAAGCAACAGAGGCTGTGGTCTCTTTAATGTCACATTCTCAGCACCGGGTGGCTGGTTTCCTGAAAAGTGCATGTGAGGCGGGCAGCAGCGTTAATTTTTCATCGTTTCTGAAACGGATCCTAATGAAATGTTACTCGACAGCCTGTTCAAAGGCAACCACCCTCTCTCCATATCTCCCGCTGTTTCTCGAGCATTTGCGGTGAAGGTGAAGTGTGTAATTTTTTTGATGTTTAAATACTTTTTCTTATCCTAGTTTAATGTGCAGAGACAACTGTAAGTATACCATTTGTAGGTTTATTTTCCCATGAAAAGTGTAAACACTGAGGCTCTGTGGTGAAAACATTGTTCTGATTGTTTGAGAATGCCTAACCAGCCCCACACGGCAACATCAGCTTATCCAATAGTGTGATTTTGGGGGCGGGGCTATCAGTTTGGCTTACCATTGGAAAAACAGGGGAAGTGTTTTTGAAACCAAACATTATTACACACTTTACCTTTAAATGAACAGTTTTCAAAAATGTTATTTACTCATTCAAGTGGTCCAAAAGCTATATGCTATTCTGTGTAACACAAAAGAATCCTCACACCGCCCCAATGAGGGTTCATAGTGAACATGTTTGTTAAAGGGTTAGTTTACTCAAAAATGAAAATTCATTTACTCACCCTCACGTCTGTAGAACACAAAGAAGATATGGATACAATGCAAGTCAATGATAAACAAAACTGTTTGGTTATTAACATCTTATGTTCCACAGAAGAAGTCATACAGGTTTGGAACTACAGTATATGTGACCCTGGACCACAAAACCACATGGATCACATGGGTCAATTTTTGGAAATTGAGATTTATACGTCACATGAAAGCTGAATAAATATGCTTTCCATTGATGTATGGTTTGTTAGGATAGGACAATATTTGGCAGAGATATAACTATTGCATTCACTCACAAAAATAAATATTTGATGTCTTAAAATGGAACATCTTTACTTAATATCCTAATGATTTTTGGCAGAATCGATAATTTTTACCCATACAATGTATTTTTGGCTATTGCCACAAATATACCTGTGCTATGACTGGTTTTGTGATGCAGGGTCACATATGAGGGTGAGTAAATGATGACAGAATTTTAATTTTTGGATAAACTATCCCTTTAAGCTCCAAAAATGAAGGAAAAACTAAAATAAAGGATAAATTAGAGTGAAAAACAGACTGATATTTATTATTCACTGATAATCTTCCTCTCCAGAGAGCTGTTAACTCAATAACCACTGCAACCTGATCTTTGAGTAAGTGAGTTGGATCAGTGAACAAATTATTTTCAATTAACTTATTGATCTATTTCATAAATTGGACTGAATGATTCATTCAAATCACAGTTCAACCTACTAACAGCTCACTGATAATATACGATAAGTGAATGATGACTAAAATGTCAGTTTGTTCAAATCACATAATGCTCATTTTTAAGTAGCAAAAGCATGATCTAATGTTAGAAAATTATACCTTATTGTAAAGTGTTACCTTTTTATAGCTTTCAGAGTCAAGAACTATCATTGTAGTTTTGTTCCATAGAAATAAAGTTATTCAGGTTAGGTTCTCATTTTGTGCCACTTTCTCTCTTCTGCTCTTTCTATGTATGCGTTTTCTCTATTTTTCTGACTCCAGGTCTCCCATTTTCTTTTCTACCCACCGCTGTGTGGTGTAAACAGGTTGTTAATATTTAAGGAGTCCAGGCTCATGTGTTGATGGTTCAGAGTGTCTCTCTGCCTCTCACTGTTTCCTATCTTGTCAGAAAAAACTGAATGGTATACTTCACACACAGCTATCTTACCTCTGCTGTCATTGTCTTTTTTTACTAAAAAACAAACAATTCCAAGCAATAAAATAACAGGATACTTTAATCACATTCATGTATCTTTCTTTGTTTTCACAAGTCACTTTGAATTGTTTTTAGTCCAAATGCTAAATCTAAAACCGTTCTCTTTGTGTTTGTGTGTATCTCAGACCCTGGAGCAGTGGTGGAAACCCACAGTGCTGTTCCGTATGCAGTGATCGGGGGCATCCTGGCTCTGCTGGTCTTCACTGTCATCTGTGTGCTCATCGTCACCATCTGGTGCTCCGTCCGACAGAAAGGTGACCTCCTCTCTCCACACACTTAACCTGTGGTGACACAATGACATGATGCGCCTCACCTTCTGAGGAAAGGTAGAAAATAAAACAATATCTAAGCAGTAGATAAAGAGAGTGTGTGTGAGGGAAGATAAAGGCTGGTTCACACTGCACTAATTAACATCAACCAGGTTAAAACATTTATCCAGTTTGTTTGCTGGTGCATTGAGAGCCAGCATTAACAGGAAATGGAAACAGAACTGTTGTAGATGGTGATTAAAATATACCAAGTGATGGTAGAAATGTCTCCATGTAGAGATTATGCAATACTGTTTATTCTGCTATAGATTCGTATCAGTGAGCAGAACTGCCCTATGTTATTTTCATGTGACGGCCATGCAGAAACGTGGAGTAATATGAAAATACAGAGCAAGATGTGAGGATGAACTTATCGAATGGTGTTTGTTACAGGCAAGAAATGCAAAGCAGAGGTTTTTTTTTTTTTTTTTTTTTTTTTACAGTTTCTGAGCCAGGACACATTAAATTTGTGTTTTTGCAGGTGTTTTGTATATCTGCTATTTTACATGCGTCCAATAAGAATTCATAGTATTCAGTTATATAATATTAGTTATAAACACTACCATTCAAACATTTTTGGGTTAAGATTGGGGCAAGGACACACTTAATTGATCAAAAGTGACAGTAAAGACAATTATAATGTTATCAAAGATTTCTATTTAAAATAAATCATGCTCTTCAAGCTGCAAATTGGCATATTAGGATGAATTCTGAAGAATCATGTGACACTGAAGAGCAATGGCTGCTGAACAATCAGCTTTGATACACAGGAATAAATTACATTTTAAAGTCTATTAATGAGGACTTATGCAAAATGTACTTTTACATGGTGTTTGAACATAAATGTGTGTCGGCAGTGTGTACACAACCACCCTATAATGGTAAAAATCCACCCTCTCCTTTTTTTTAATCCCCATACATCATAAGCAGTGTCTCAGAACAAGCCGTTTGCAATTTCTATTCAATGTGACGTCACAAATGCTTAGGCCCCGCCCATGACTGATGACAGACTCCGCCCTATTAGCATAGTAGACCCCGCCCTGAGTGAACTGTACACAGTCCGCCATGTTTATCTCCTCGCCAGAGCATTTAACAGCAGCATTCAAGTAAGAAATGTATTCTTAATAAAGCTACTATAGTTATTCAATCAAGACCAGTGAGTGATTTTCTGATTTCCTTCTGTTGTTTGATTTATATTAACAGCATATATAGCAGTAGGTACTGTATTTTACGCTGCTTTCACTTTTAATACAGAGTATCCAAGGCACGAGCTGTAATGGTTCTGCCGTCTTCTGGAAAGCGGGGTGGGGAGCAGCAGCTCATTTTCTCTTTAAAGATATATGCACGAAAACAGCATGCTTTTAACTCAAAAATGTGTGTCACAAAAATCATTTACAACATGGTATAATAAATGATCTGTGAGGTATTTTGAGCTGAAATTTCAAAGACACATTCTGGGGACACCTGAGACTTATATTAGATCTTGTAAAAAGGGTCATAATAGCTTCCCTTTAAAGAAAACAGTTATTTTACATTGTAATAATATATCACAATATTGCTGTTTTTACTATATTTTTAATCAAATAAATGCAGTCTTGGTAGCATAAGCGATTTGAACGGAAGTGTATAATATACTTTTCACGAACTGCTCCGAGACAAGAAGGTTGAGGATCCAAATGCAGTATTTTTTGAACAGGGTAATCCAAAGACGTAATTCAAAGTACAGGCAAGGTCAAACGCAGGCAGTCAATACAAACAAACACAACAAGGCAGGAATAGTGATGTGACATTTGAACCGAGGCGTCGGAGCTTGTGTCGAGAAAAAATGGGCGTGCCAGATGAAGCCGCGATTCGAGGCTTGTGTTGTTAACGTGAAAATCACGTGACTAATGACAAACGAGGCCTCGGTTTGTGTGAAAACGTCATCGGTTCAGTCTGAGTGTCACTTCTGGATAAAGGGGGTCCGAAACTCGCGCCACCTTCTGGGTGTTGCAGGAGTAGTAGTAGTGTCAGAGAGTTAGAGAAATCGCATTGGCATTGTTGTTATAGTGTCATATAGGGCTGTATTACATTATATCAGGTTAGAATACTTATAGTATATTGTTATTAATTATAGTAGCTATATTATAGTCTTGTTATATTAATTAGATAACATTATTTGGATTTTTGGATCTGGACTGGACTGCTTTTTGTTTTGAATTGCCCTGTTGGATTTGCCAGCAAGAAAGAGGAGATCCTCCCCCGTCTGGGCTCAACAGAAGCATCAGTATCCTCATTTATACCAGCTGGCACTGGCATTTCTATGTTCCCCTGCATCCTCTGTTCCTTGTGAAAGGAAACGAAACTTTAAAACATTTAGATGTAATTGAAATGAAACTTTATTAAGGCGAGACACTACAGGTGAATAGGGTATTTTTTTTAACTAGCAGATATAACCATGAAACTTTCCCAGTTGATTACCTACATTAAGATGAGAAAAAAATGTATTACAAGTTTTCTGTAATTTAATGTTTAAATATGCAAATTAGGCATTATCTAATTAAATATGCGCTAATTTGCATATATTTCAAAAAATGAAATCTGAGGATTGGATAAAGCCAGGTTCAAAATTATTTTTTCATTGTTTTCACATATTAGATGGGAAAAGAATTACAGAGGGATTTATGGATATCTACTTTTGTTATCCTATAAATCAGAATACTGTCAATAGCCTTAAAAAATATATTTTTGCCATGTTTTTTGGAATAAAATGTTATATAAATCGGGCTAGGAATAATATATTTACAAATCCCTCTGTAAATGTCTTCATAATATAACTAGGTACAAGACTGGAAAGTTTGGTGTATATAGATGCTACCGAAGTGGAGATTTCGGACTTTGAGTATGAGAGAAAAGTCATTTTGAGAAAACGGGCTTTAAAGATTTAGCATCAGCCAATGAGATTGCGCATTTGCGCCCTTTTACTTTCACGATTGGTTGCTGATAAAAAGGAAATGACCATATTTGGATCCGACAACATTGTACAAGAGAGAGAGAGCTTTCTAACGGTGTGTGTGATGCAGGGTGCAGATCGCGATCGCGGAGCAACGGATGATTTACAACGCCAACTTTTGATGAATTTATGAGAAATCTACAGACGCAAACAGACAATGTGTAGTAAAATAAAGACCTAAATGTGTATTTCGGACTTTTTTTCACCACAAGTCTGAAAGAAGACATTCAAGTCCATATCTGTTTTTTAAGACAAATATCCCGAAATCTCAAAATTGACCAGTGAAAAAAAACTGATGTTTTTGCCTGCCGTGTCTCGCCTTACGTTTAGATGTAATTTTATATATAGTTATGTTTATTTAATATAATAAACAAAGAAGCATAAACAAAATGAGGGGTGTCTGGTTTGTCTGTTTTTGTGACTAACGTTTCTTTAGTATAGCAATAGAGTATAAAAACCAATATAAATTCTCAGTATAGAGAATTTAGACCTTCACCGGAAATACCGCCGTGCATAGAGCCTAGTCTCGCGTAGCCAGACCTTCAGACTGACGGCTGAACGTCTGGAATTCATAGCAGCTTTCTTTGGCCAAGGCCCGCCCATAAGGCCGTTTGACCGACATGTAAAACAACCAATTACAGTTTGTTTCGTTCAGCGTCACGTTTCGGGACGTGGAAATGTCCCCACAACAACAGACCGGCGTGCAACAAGTCAGTCAGCATAGAAAATCAAAGAAGGAGAAGAAAACTTCAAGAGTCTATGCCGTGAACCTCGCATACTTTTGAGAATCCTACGTTTAGCTGATCTTGATAAATGCTCATTGTCACTCATGTAAACACAACAGTTTTCTTCCGCAATCACACGTCTGCGCTTTGTTTCCCGGCGGACCGAAAATAAACGCGACACTCGCGCCCCCCGGAAATCTGTTAAAATTCAACCAATCAGATGACGACTTCGACATTCCTGAAGTGTTTCCAGTTAAGTGTACCATATGCATCAGACGTTTAGCCAACGTTCCGTGGGCGTGACGTCTGAGGCTGAGACTACATAGAGCCCATTAATTAATTTGTCTGTTACTTCTTTGTACCGTAGCTAGGTGTCACTAGTGAGTAATGAACCTTTGGGTGAAGCAATGGGCTGCGAGGTCTCAGTGGTTCAGGAAGCCTCATTTTGCCATCACTATGCAGGGAACACGGGCAAAAGAGTAACACAGAGCAGGCAAGAAATCCGAAACCAAGAGACATGAAACCATGGAGAATGCTCGGAATTGAAGTGTAACACTTAACATACAAGACTTCGCAGGGCGTAAAAACCAGGCTATATAGGGTGAGTTAAACAAGGTAATGAGACACAGGTGGATGCAATCAGGGATGATGAGTCCGGGCAGTGAGTTTGTGAGGGAATGACAATAGTCTGATGTGAAGTGCCCTCTGGTGGCTCTCAAGGGCACTCCAGCTGGTGACCGTTACAATATTAGTTAAAATATTACTTTTACTATTTTACTGATACTTTGTTCCTGAATGGCATTTAATCTTTTGACTATTGAAAATGTGCCCTTTGGTGGAAAAAACTGGTAAAATGTATTATGAAATGTTTGTTACTTGACATTATCTTTTTGGTTATGGACTTGTTGTATTAAACCAATATCACACTAGCAATCCTGCTGAAGATTTTGATCATGCCGCCGGCGCCCACCCTAATGGTGATGAAATGGATTAGTAAAAAATCAGAAGGAGATAATAGTTGGTGTGAGGAGGGGTTTTTGTGTGTGTGTGTGTGTGTGTGTGTGTTTCTGAGGGCAGAAAGTTTACATGTAAATATGTTCAGAGGGAAGACGGGAGAAAGAAAGAACATCATCTGCAAGGGACTGTGCCAGACCTGTGATATAAAGATGTATAGCCTGGGGAAAAGTAGCTACGGCCCTCATGTTTAATTTACTTTTTTCGTCAACCGTATCGTGGTGCATCTATAAAGAAAACTTAATTACCTCGTCCCTGAACTCTTTAAGAACTTCTGGTCATCTCAGTGTGTCACAGTTTCCAATAAAGATCACGGCACCCGCAAATTGGGGCGGAGGCAAAGGGCTGCGAGGAACCCGACCCCACCTGCCAATCAAAGTCAGAAACAGTTAGTTCACCCATCGGCGCAGAGACAGAGAGCATTAGGGTTGATCCTTTCTAACCTTGGGGTTCCTGGAAAGGCAGAAGGGAAGTGATTAATCTTAGGATAGAGGAAGAGGAACATTACAGCTCTGATGCATTGTCTTTGTCCCGCGCGGTCCACGACATCACTGCTTTTAATGACCCCAACAGCCTCTGCTGTACGCTTGCGTTTTAAGAAAGTAAAATTGCACGAACATAAGATCGATTTTTTTAATTAAACTGTGTCGTGCCGGTGCCATAGAGTCAATTCTGCCTTAGTTATTTCAGTTATTTGTCCCCGAGCCACAGAGGCAAAACCATTGTGTCATATAATGATGTGAATAAAAAGGTTGCACTGTACCATATCGCTGACTGTGCAGTAAAATGTCAGAGGTGATTATGCCTAATGAGTTTTGTGATTAATTAAAAGTTGATCTGCATAAGTTCCCCCAATTATAGTAGATGACTTTGGCTGGCCCTGCAAACTTGATTCCAGAGAAGAAGATTTAGATGCATGCAAGGTTGATGCCATCCAACACGACAGCATCAATCCCCAAGAGCCAGTTTAGTTTGAGAGATACTGATTGAGGACAAGGAGAAAGGTGGAGACACAAGGGAAAAAATATGGAGAGGTATCAGGGCTAGGTTTCATGTGGCACTATTGTAATTGCCAACTAAAACTGAAAGTATAAAAAAATCATAAAGCTGAAATCACATATAAATATTAAATGAAAACTTATTCGATGAAAAAAAATGAAAATTAGAAATGTTGCCTTGGCAACTAAAGCCACGTTTCCACCACAGGAACTTTTGGGTGGTACTCGGTGTGTTTCGACCGCAGGAACCAGGGTTTAAATGAAGTTCTGGGTAAAAAATGTGCCCCTCAGAAAAAGTCCCTGCTTGCGAGGTAGTACTTTTTCAAAGTTCAGGAACTTTCGGGGGTGGGATTTGGGTGCTGAACATGCTGATTGGTTGAGTTCATGACGCATTTTAATTGGTTGACTCCACGCAGCATTTAATTTCAACCACCATTTTTAAATATCTGTTGCGGTGCGTGCAGTCCTGCGTCATCGGACTAATTTGCCTAATCTTCACAGTACCGCGGTGGAAACGCAGAAAGCAAAAGGGAAAAAAAAGTTCCTGGGACAAATAGTTCCGGGTAATTTCGGTGGAAACGCTGCTTAACTAAGAAAATAAGTTTAAGTACTAACATGACAAACTAAAACTGAAATAAAGATAAATTAAAGCTAAATAGTAACAACTAATAAAACTGATAAAAAAGGAACAAAGAACAAATAAAGAAAATTACAAAATTAGGAGGGAAAAAATGAAAACTGAACATATATGAAGTAATACTATAATAATACTAACTAAGTTTTCACAAGACTTGTATCTCAGTAAGGTTTTAAAAGTCCAATTACAAATGTGTTTTCTCTAGCAGTGGTTTTGTTTGATGGATTTTTTTTGTTAATGAATGTTGTTGTATACAGAAGTTGACATAATAAAACCTCACTAATATGCATGGTTAGTTTATAAAAAAAATATTGGGTTAAGTTGTTGCGTGTTTTAAATGTTAATTAAATATTATTTAATTTATTCATGTGTATTTAATTTATTATCTTTAAATCAAACAACAGTTTGATATTTATTTATAATTATTACATTTTTGCTGTTAAATTTAATAGTTTTTTTGTTGTGGTTTCATAATTGTTTTACTTGTTTAACAGTTTGTTTGTTGTTGCTGAAACACCTCAACATAGCCCTGGTCCCCCATTGGATGAAAGTCAATAGAGGAATTAAGACAAAAAAAAAAGGCACAAGCTCTTCATCATGTCCTGCTTCAATAGAAATACATTAAATTGCACTCAACAAGCGAATTAAAGTGTTTAAGGTATTCTTTTAATTCCTGCAATTAAGTATGATTAAATTGTGTCTTTCTCTCTCTAGGTTCATATTTGACTCATGAGGCCAGTGGGTTGGACGAACACGGCGAGGTTCAGGAGGCGTTCCTCAACGGTAATGATGCCAGCCAGGGCAAGAAGGAGTACCTACTGTAGCGCCGCCTTAGTGGAGCTCTTCAGAAACACTGGACCGCTGCAGAGTGCACACAACAACACACACTGTTCCCAAACAGACACACCACCACAACGACAACCAGAGGGAATCACAATCGTGCCATATGAAGTTGGAGTGGGAAGGAGAGGACGGAGAAATTAATGGAGCAGGGTGGAGGGGAAGAGAGCCGAGAGGATAATTATTATGATTGAAAGAGACCATCACACACACTCTCTTTCGTGTACAAAAGACAACTAGCCGTAATTGTAGGTCCAGGAGAGAAAAGTGTCCATTCAAAACAAGCCGATCCATAACCGGCCAAGACGGCATTGCTGCGGGAACCCGCAAAGTGCTTATGAGCTATTGAATGTCCCAGTGTGAGCAAACTGAAATCCCTTGCATTTGCCAAAGTGTCTGGGCCTCAGAGACTGAGTTGGTAGAGAATAACTCCACCAATGACAGCGCTGCAAGCTCAGAGCCGTCCTCATAAAGTATTCATCTGCTCTTTTCATCCGGCAACTCCATTATCTGCTCACGTTGGCCAAAACCTGTTGACTTGTGAAGAAAAGTTCCTCTCGTTTTGATCCTCTCTCGGTGACTCTGTTTCCCGCTCTCCAATGCTCCTTCCTCTCCCTCCTTTATCTCTCCACTATTGTTTGTTAATAATTAAGGGATTAGACATGTTCTCTTTTATGAGCAGAATGAATTGGAGCGGCCCGCTCGCTCTGACGCTGTAAAAAGGGGCTTAATTATCGCAAAGAGTCATTGAGAACGTGGAACCGCGAGGAGTTCGACGTGGGTGAGAAAAAACAGAAAGGGAGTTTGTAGAGAACATGTCAGGAATTTCGATATTTTTTTTGATTGCTCAACACGAAAACACTTACACAATGAAACATATCTCTAAAGTCATTATTTGTATGGAAAAAGTCTACAAAGTAAATTAAATGACTCTTTTAAGAAGAAAAAAATACTTTTGCGCGCATTACCAAGCGATGTTATCGTACTAACAGAATATTAGCTTAGAGGTGCAAAACTGAACAAACTACTGTTACGTCATCTTTAAAAAAAAAAATCAAAATTCACAAAAATATATATTTCGTTTGTCTTTAAAAGATATCGGAGGTCTTAATTGTTTTTATTAATTATTATTTGGACTACTATGATTGTTGTTATTGTTATTATTATTATTACTGTTATTATAATTGTAAATGTTATAAATTGTATACTTCCCATGCTTAAGTAGAAACAGCTGTGTACCCACTTTTCTCTCTCCTCTTTCATTCTCTTCCTTCCTTCTTGATCCTCTTCCTGTCTTTCTCCCTATTTGTCTTTCACGTCTCCTCCTCGTCTTTCACTTCCTGTTTATTTTATAGTCTTCGCGTCGCTGTTGATATAGCTAACTGTACATCTTTATAGGGGAAAGATACCAAGCACGAAAAAAATAAAAAATACTTCAAGAATCTCGCGTGAAAGACTGATTTTCTTGACTTCGAGAAGCAGACACAATCAAGTTTCACCAGCGGCAATAAAGAAAAGCAGCGAGGAAAAAGGGGGGGGGGGGGGGGGATATTTTAATTAGCAGAAGCAGCCAGCAGAGATGAAAGCTGTGTGACTGAGAATGATGAATCATAAGACTCTTATGACAAAAGAGCAGAGACACCGAAGAGAGAGAGAGAGAGAGAGAGAGAGAGAGAGAGAGAGAGAGAGAGAGAGAGAGAGAGAGAGAGAGAGAGAGAGAGAGAGAGAGAGAGCAGGTGCATTAAAATAGTACTCCTCCATTATTCCACTGCAATCAATATACGATTGTGTCAGAAGTCACTTGCTGAGCGCTCCGGGAGGGGTGGGATTAGATTTAAATGCGAGGGGAGGATGATTGATCGATGTGTTTGTCCTCTATTGATGGAAAGGCTCTGCAGAAACCTGTCATAAACAGTAACTGTCACATGGCAATCAAAGCGCACCCTGCGTTACCTGCTGTTCTGCTCGGTTTGAGCAGCTCCTTAGATAAAGAAGGACATATGCTAGCAATTTCATTTTAGTATGAGTTAATGCTTCACAAAGCATGATCAGATGAGATAAGTTGCTAATTTTGGGGCTTCTGAGAAGCGAGTTACGCTTCAGTGAGCCGACAAACTCCAAACGCAGAGTTCAAATGAAAAAGGACAGCCGTAGAATTTATCTGAACTTCATCAATCTCTTGTAATTTTGTTTACTGGACCTCGGCTGACATCTCAAAGGCAGATCCATGGGTAATAAACCATATGCTGATCAAACAGCGCATCAAACTTTCCTTCGGCTTTATCCAAGGACGATGAACGTTACATTCTGTGCGTGACGGATTTGAAGCTTCCTTGCTCCTTGCAATGACCCCATTCAAGAGGATGTGGACTAGAGCAGGTGCGATGAATTGACTGAAGCCGCTTTTAGTGATGAAAGATTGTCATTTCGACAGGAAGCTAAAGGCTCTCGAGCGAAGAGAACAATCGAATGAGCTCTCGGTTAGGGAAAGCTTTTACTTGTTTTCCAACTTCACTCAATAATTCACCTCGGCATTGGAGGTTAGTGCACACTTTAATGAGAGGGAAAAGCATTTGCAAGAAAAATGAGTGAGACAATGATCAAGAAACAAAAAGTACCGCACCAGACAAATCAAAGTCATGGCTATACAAAGACAAAGTGAGTGAAAGTAATGTTAGATGGAGGATTTCATGCTTGAAACTTGGATGAATAATGGGTGGATTGGGGGAGTGAGACGGCGAGGAGGGAGAAGAAATGAAGATCATAACAGAAATATTCAGATACAAAAGGAGTAATTTCTTACACGAGCCCTGCCACGAGTGAGCAAAAAGAATAATCCAATTAGTGTGAAACAGGGCTTTTATTCGAGCTGCACATAAGAAGTATGCGTTTAATCAAAACAGCTATGGAATCCTGTTTTCACTGGGAGTTATTGAGTGGTTAATTATCTTGATGCATTTAAATGGTCTCTCCCACTTAATATGCTTTTATAGTTGTTATAATTAAACATTCAGATCAAAAGCTTGCGTTGGCTTTAAACATTGATGGGACACATTTTGATATACTATATTTAATAGAATGCAAACTTATTGATGTATTCAAATAAATCTCTTCTGAGATCGTTGGCTAAATCATTTTACCATTTAATCCTGGAGTATCACTGGGATTAAACATGGCAGCAATGCAATATTTATTGGACCATTTTTGCAACATAACAGGAATTTACAAAGTGCTTTCTAATGACTCATTACATGTCCAACCAGAGAGGGCTGTTTCTGCACCAGTTTTGTTCAAGGCTTGCTTATTTGTTGTTAGTGACATAAAACTAAGGGCTGACAAATATTTCTTGCTTATTGCAACAACTTTTTTTTCAGCCCCCTGAAGTATTCATTATTGCAAGCCAAAAAAACTCTTATCTGGGAAGCCATGTTTAGGGTATGATAACTCAAGAATTATGATTACTGGCCTCATGGGAATTGGTAGAAACATAGACAAACGTATATTTCCTTCAATCCCAAATGGTTCAGAGTCCCCACTAAGTTCAAATATCTTCATAATTGGCCCCTAAAGTTAAAAACAAAAACGTTTTAGACGTGGGTGGTATTGGGGCCTTAATCATAATAAAAACAAGACCAAGGATACAAATAAATGTGTTTTGATATTAGAACCAGTCTTGATTGACTGTCAAATGTGCAAGTCCATAAACATAATGTGAAATGTTAACATTTTATCAGGTTAACATTTGGCCAAGTCCGAATGAAAATGCCTCATGTAATATCGCCAATTAGAATAAACTGACCAAATTTAGCTTGGATTGAAATGGCTGGTGTAAACCTTTGATAATATTAGACATGTAACCGCTCCATCAGATTGCTTTCTGTATTGGGACTTTCTGCACGTTTCTGCACTGTACTACATAGATTCAAAAGAACAACCACAACAAATATATTTTACCTTTGATCATTATGTTCCACAAATGAAAATTTTCTGCAAACTTATAACCTTTTTGCAGACTTTCCTGTTTTGATTTCAAAACGTAATCTACATGATTAAATGCCAGTGTTATGTAAAATGTGCTTGAGAATCTGTCTCACAGGAGAGGCTCGTTAAAAAAAAAAAGGGAAATAAATACGCAAGATGCATTTTACATTTGTGGTGTACAGAACTGATGGTTTAAATCTATTCGTCACATTATACAAGACACAAAATAAGTAGATCCCACTATCTATCCTGGACTTTCATAAGTTGTCGAATAGCAGATACGAATAACAATAGAGTTTGGAACCATCAACCAGAATGAATTCATTGCGAACATAAAAATGTGCCCATTTAAATGTAATTGGCCATTTAATGACTACTTAAGATAAACGTGGCATGTAGGTCTACAATAAATTCATAAAAGTTTATGAACTCTTATGTTTTAGGTCTCAAATAACACAAAGTATGAACAAAATAGTAATTCCATCTGAAAGGAAATGGACTGACCCTAATACAAATAAAGCCTGGCATCTGAGATGAGCTAATATTGGATACGTTTTACTCAACTGCTGAATATAATTACATATAACCCATGCAAGTGCCTTCATCACATGACATCACATCCCTGGAGGTCCTTTCAGTGTCGGCCCAGGGTGACGGTAATCTTCCACTGAACGGAAAGCACTCCCCACAGATTTGACTCGAGAGATGATGACCCTTGAGATCAGGTTAGGCGCGGATAACAAGGAGCTCTCGATGCCTAGCTGCTGAGAGGTGTTGGTGAAGAGGAGTGGGGGCACTAGGCTATACATCTGGAAAAGAACAGAGGTTGTCAGAGAGCTCCAGTCGGGTCTAGTGGCACTCGGGGCGAAGAGTAACAAAGCGTGGGTGATGTGCAGGGGCAGGCAAAGCATTACCAGGAGAGAGACAGAGAGAGCCAAGGAGCGAGACCACACTGAGCTTCGTTTCTGCTGTGGCATGAAGCACATCAAGTCCAGATACACGGCTAACAGAACCAACAGAGGAATAACAAACACGGCGACAGCATAAACATACACAAGAAAAACCGGACTGAGCATGGTGTCGGTGGCACAGATGCCCCAGTGACTGCCGTGGATCTCTGCATACGTGAAGTTCTCATTGTCCTCCACCAGAAACTTGGATAGAAAACCTCCATAAGGCAAGAACTGGCCGATTACAGAGCGATCCTGGGGGTAGGGCCGTTTGGGAGGGAGGGCAGGGGTGGTGTAATTTGGTTCAGGCCATTCTTCCATCCCAAGTCCAGCTGTATGGTCGTCCTCAGCAGCTCCCCAAGTATCAGAAGAGCTGGAAACGATGAACTGGCTGAAGGCGGTGATCACTGAAATGACCCAGCAGAGCAGCACAGAGCACAAAACCCGCCTACGAGTCACTAAGCCTGCATATCTGAAAGAAACATAAGCTCCGTCCTGAATTTTAAGCATATTCAGCACAATTTAATACTCTGATTTTATAGTCAGCACAAACTAAGTCTTTAATGCGATTTCACATATGCAAGAATCAAAATAGCTGAGAACTAGCTGAACTTTTCGAGCATAAACACTGCAAAACAAGGTCGGGGTGTTCACACTCACCTGTTCCCCAGGCGGCACTGCAGATGTGTGTTAAGTGTGAGTAGAAGCAGAAGGCACACAGTGAACTGCCTGACAAGTAGGGGGCAGGAGACCATAGCGATACAGGTGTACAGACACTGGGAACTCCTCAGGTTCAACAGCACAGACACAGGAGCGACCACAATACTGCCCGCTGACCCAACCACACCGAGGCAAAGTTTCAGGCATGCAGATGTGCTCCAGCTTCTAGTTCCTGCCCCAGCTGCAACACCAGCAGCCAAGCACAACCTCACACACACTCCGATCACCAGCACCGCTATTACACACTGAATCAGGGAATATAGCCACATAGCATACATGACCCCTAAGAGAGAAAGGGAGATGATGATAATAATTAAATAATTTAAGAGTGGCTTAACAATTGAATTTAAACAAGCTGGATGCAAGACAATAAAAGACAAGAAGATATTCCTGGCATTTGAAGTTTACACTCCATTGAAAAGGTTAGCAGAGATTGTTGTGGCAGATGCCTCCACACGGCGGATGTGATAGTCTCTAAACTGTGAAAATCCTGAAAAGTCACAACCCAGATAGCACAAGTCTATTTGATGTTATATTTACATCTGGAAGACGTATTTTTAAGAGTGTTTGCTCATCTGCAAGACGTCTATAGGACGTCTCCTGTCAGATGTCAAATAGACGTTTAGAAGATGTCAGTTTAACATGCATTCTAAATCATTACATCTTAAAGACATCTTTTAAACGTCTATTTGACATCTGACAGGAAACGTCCTATAGACGTCTTGCAGATGAGCAAACACTCTTAAAAATACGTCTTCCAGATGTAAATATAACATCAAATAGACTTGTGC